AGGTCGATGGACGTGGGTTTGYTGTTTCTTTRTCTCTTCCYCCTCTTCGTCTGTGTACATACATTTTGATTACGGCTCCGGGCGGTTTGCYCGTTCTTATTTTCATTTTCGGCTTTCRGGAACYGAGACTTGGGTTTTTGCTCACACTTGTCCCTGCTTTGTCCATCTCGATTGCGCGATGTGTATGATTGTTGAATGTATGGATATAGGGATGTTATGCTTGCGCATCTACATCACTGCTGAGAATCCCAACCCTTACCTTTGTTTGTGTCGAACCCTTGCTCACACCTGATGCAATTGTAAATGGGATAAGGATCTGGCACCGGTAGCAATTTTGTCCTCGTTCTTGTTTATCTCGCGATGGGGGGGGGGGTTGTGATATGGTCGCATCTTGCATAATCCGAAGCAATTAAACGATATGGCGATTGACCCCACGAACGCCGCACGAGAATACGTGTGAACGCGATCCAAGTCGCGCCCTTACACGCATTCTCGTACATCGATTCGCCCACCAAAGAAGACTTGAGGCGGAACCGTCATCCCGTACGAACATACTGAGGCATCACTGAATCTGTCTGTCCTACACGTGTCCGTGCGCAGTGACGATATCCCGACCCGAGCTATCCCATCGACGATGATACCATGACGCGATCTTTGAACTCAGACTCATCCTATGACCCGGACTATTTCACCCCTATAATAAACGAACTCATAAGGACACGGTACCCTTGTCACACGGAGAATCGGCTATGTCCTCAGAAATTCCACTGTGCCACCACTAGCGACCCTCGGTGCTCCGATTTCCCTTCCCCCGACCACACCTACTACTTCACCCACCCGGGATTCGTTGAGATCACCACCAGTTTCCCTCCYTTSCGCCTCCTTYTCCCRTATCATCAACTYAGTGTCRTCCCGTGGCYCGCCRTAGCCCCCTACTGSCSCAATACGTTTTGCGTGAACTGCCGACGTAGCRGYGGACAGAGAACTCCRGAATTCCGAAGGCCCAACCCRGGCGCGCGGCRACCTGCGCCACRTGGCGGCCCCCGACGGCCTAACTTTTTAGGACCACCCCCACCACGGAGGGACTTCCYCGTARCCYGTCACCCACAGTGCCCCGGCCCCACCAGACCGTGAKTCCCTTGCGCAYGCACCCCTGACTCGCCTAATTGCATTCATACCCTTAAGACTCCCCCACTTTCCCCAAAAATCCTTGGCACACCCCTTTTCGCACTTCCAAGCCCACATCCCACTCCGATCAGGAAGTCGCGCCGGGCGTGAGGTTGGGTGTCACATCCTGTTTTGAGAAGACGGGCCTCAACGTCTGGGCCTGACGGCCCTTTGCAGTTCACGTGCCCTCACTTTGTTTTGGGGTCCGCTTCCACCTGTGGAGCCGTCCAACGCCCCGCACTTCTTTTTGGGGTCCACTTCCACCCGAGGACTGGTCCTTCCTTTTTCCAGAAGTCCTGGTTCTAGCAGAGCTAGCTGTAGGTAGTCCGCAATTTTGGCAAGGACCAGTTCCCCAATTTTTTTTGCCCCTTAAGAACCCACTCTGCGTCCTGGTCGCCCGCCGCCAAAAATGTGACACCTTGAGACAGACGTCGAACCCCAGTAGACCGCAGCCTTAGGGCTGCGAATAACCAACTAGGGCGGTTCAAAACAAACAGGAAGCTCTATGTCTTGTCCTAACCACCGGATACCATCGAACGACCATCAACTGTGAATAAGGAAATATACCTTAGTTGAAGACGTATCTGCACTCCTTCGCTTGGCACTTCTTCAGAGCTACCGCCCCCGCCAACTGGGCCCACTCCCTGGGATTGGCCCAGGGCACTTCTTAGCTTGCTTCTCCAGTGACTTGACATCTGTAGACACCATTGCCCTTTCTCCTGTATTGCTAGATTCGATAGGAAGCGTCCTCCACCCGGCCATGAG